AGGATTAACTAAAGATATGATTATACCCGAAGATATCGGACAACAAGAAGAGATATGCAAAATAGAGATACCGAGTTTTTATGCCAACAAAAGAATAATTGGTATATCAACGATTATACAAGAGCTAACAAATAACTATTTAAACGGAAACGTTATATGGAGCTACTATGCAAGAGACCAGCTAATGATTTATTCCAATTCAAGGGAGCTAAGGAAAACAGATATGGATGAAGTCCAAAGATGGATTTTATCACTACTTAAGCCAGAAGAACGACCTACGACACGAGCACTAAAAGAAGGATTTATTTCGGCAGAATTATTAACCAGATATTGCAAGCTAATTGGTCACAAATACCCTGACCATATATATTCAAAATGTAACAGAGAAGATAATATAATCCCAGACGTCCAACTGGAATAAAGAGATAAAGACGAAAGTAGATGATAAGAAGATAAGATGATAAAGATGAGATGCGAACAAAATAAAAAGATGAGATAAAGAGTAAAATTATTTATCTTGTAAAATAGTTAATAAAGTATGGTGTGAATAGTAGTGTGTCATAATGTTAAGTAGTAATGTGTGTCATAATAAGGATGGACATGTGTAAGGGATGGTAGGGGGTGTAATTTATTAAGTGGACAAGTGTATGGTGTGTCATAAGTAGTAGTTATGGGATTGTAAGACAAGTGTAAAGAGTAAGTATGGGATTGTAAGAAAGCCATCAGATAGTGTAAAAAAAGTCATAAGAGTAAGTAGTATAGTATGTGCACATTATTGTGCACTACTGTATAAGATAAGATAGGAATTGTAAAGTAGTAGTCGTCTCATTTCTATATAAAGGGACGCATATGTAATATGAAAGGCAGGCAATGCCTAATATAAAAAACTTTCTTTTAAAAAACTCTCTCAACTAAAAATTTAGTATTTAGATAAATGGAGCAACAATTTGAAATCTAATCAGATATTTCAGATAACATGGCTAAGCAAGAGGCAAAGGTATATTGTTCAAAAAATATGCGGAACTAATTTCATATATTCCTGAATATCATATATATGATTGAATAAGTTTATGTTAGTTATTATGTATTAGAATTATTTGAATCATGATTTCTAGTTTATTAGCACACTGGAAACAGGGAGAAAACTTCTATACTATGCCATCCTAATGTTGAAACCGGTAGGCGAGGAAAGCCGTTTAGGGGAGTAAACAAAGTTGAGGCGCTGATAAGAAGGAAGTATCCGCTAAAGTACGGTGCTAGTAGTGACAGAAAAACATGATAAATAGATAATCTAGTTCATAATAATCTAATATGAATTTAATCAATTATGAATATGATAGGAAAGAATAATTGAAAAACCCCGCATAACAACGAACATGACTACATACGTGCATGATGAAATGATAAAAAACTATGAAACTTTAATCTTATATATACTTAACGATATAGAAATAATTGAATTAAGAAGAATAATATGGGAAAAAATATTTAATGATTACGAATCAGAAGATATATTAAATCAACAATGGTATGAAATAAACCTACATGATTTAGACTTTGAAAGAATAGAATGGTATGATTTAGAAATAAATTCAGATTAAAATGAACTACGGATATTTACAATATTGGGTAAAATCTATGGAAGATATAAAACTATTAGAACAATTAATGGAGGAAAATTTATCTATGTACCAAAGAACCGAAAATATGTTATATCTAGAATATATCATAAATAATATTAAAGAAATATTCAGATTAAATCAAATATCGGAAGAATATTACAATAAATATTATTACATATTACTATGAATTTAGCACTACCAAAAAATAATATTAAAGAGATATCAAGATTAAGACACTTAGTAAAAAGATATTATAATAAAATCTTAAAAATAAGTTACTCATCTACCATACTACCATCTACCACACTATCACTTTCATGAATTCACTAACTACTAGTTCAAGCAGTAAAGATATCCTCAAAACAATGCTCCACTATTAATTTGTACCTACTCATAACTAGGCTTTTAGTGCGACAAAAAGATGATGTGATATTTGATGTTCTTCTAATATACTTCTTGACACTTCCATTCTATAGTTTGACGGTTATCACATGAATGAGGCATTTTAAGTACAAGCGTCGTTTTTTGGCAGTACCTTTTTTATTCCTTTGGTCTCCTTTTCATTCTTGGAAAATGCTAATATTAGCTAAGAGATTTTCGTAGGCCGACTGTCAGGTTTATTCAATGCATATACTTTGAAATAGGTTGTTAAAATTTCTCAT